TACTTGGCCGAGCCTCGAGATTGGGCTTGGCGCTTATTTATTACATGGGCGCATTACCTGTCCGATCTACTTGTTGAGTCGGATGGCGGTTTGGCGTGGTCGAGCTACGCGATTGAGCTCGATATTCATTTATTACGTTGGCAGCTTACCTGACCGGCCTCGTTCGGACTCGGTGGTATTTTTTGCCTGATCGGGTCATCGTTCTGAGCCCGACTTGTGCCGGCCGAGCCATCGTATTAAACTCGACCTGCATATAATTACGTGACAACTTACCTGACTGGCCTCGTTCAGACTTGGTGGTATTTTTGGCCTGACCGGGTCATCGTCCTGAGCCCAGCTTGTGCCGGCTGGAGCATCGTATTGAACCCGACCTGCACATAATTACGTTAATTACGCCGCTTCGATTCGATCTTGTTGGGTTTTATGAGGAACGTCAAACAACATGCACAATATTGAACTTATTGAAATAAATCCTAACGCAGCGGAATCTATAGTTAGGATATAGACGTTGACATAGTTTTCATTATACCAAATGATCGAGAATTGTTAGCACAAATCTATTGAGAATTAATGACACCGGGCTACTCTACTTTAAAGATCTTGGGCTCACAGGTTTCTCAAGTACCATAACGTGGGATATAACAGGCTAAAAACCGACGTCATAAGACAGAACCAGCATCGTTATAGCTGGTAAGTTCAAATGTTTTTTATCCTCATTAAACCGACATCTCTCATCGGTCACGACTTAGCTAATCGATAACCATAAAAGGCGAACCCGACATCAGAAGGCGGTGCCAACTCAGCCAGTCATCATGACTGTTATCCAAGTGGCAAACAACAAACACAAGTGGCAGATGGCCGCCATTGACTTCTCCTTTGCACCTCGTACAGTGGGTCATTGTACTATAAATAGCAAGAGGAATCCTCATAAGGGGGGTTCGAACACTTTATGTCGCTTGTAATAAGTCCAAAAGAATATATCGACTTATAATAAACACCAACGTCGCCCACTGTTCAAACCGACGTATTTCTTGTTTATCTTCTATTTCTCCTATAAACTACCTTTGTTTATTATCGTTGTTAACTGTCATTTAACAATAGACGTTTACCTTTTAATAATTCTTGTCGACTCTGAGACGATGTAGAGTACCGTTGGTATAGTTCGTGTGAATACCACAATCTAATGGGCAGATAGATTTGACCTTTATTCGATTTTAATCAAAGGTTCCAACGAAGCTCGGTTCACAGTACGCGGGTCTCGGGTCGATTGCAGCGGCTAGATGCGAGTCGCGGTCGCTGGCAGCAGTTGGTAGCGAGTCGCGGTTGCTGGCAG